TACTTCAAATGGGACCTACCCCTTCATACTTGTATTGTCTATATCTCCAAAATGGCTCATCCGTTTGAGCTGAAATTTTCAGTTTCTTCCTAAGACTCTTAGGCCTATCTCTTGTAAAAATATCAGCCAAATCGGTGACATTGATTGAGCAAGGGTCTGCTTGAATTGGTCGTGGCTTACGTGCAATAACTCTTAGACAACTTGCATTAACTAGCAAGAGATTCAGTGTTTCGCTTCGGTTGCGCGCTAGTTTTAATAGATGTCGATTGACTGGAAATGCCGATTTAAATATCTTTTTAAATGAACATCTGAGAAAGTATCCATAGAGTTTTGGGAAATAATCCCAATCTTTTGTCGAAGCGATTTACTTTTCAATAGAGCAGCCTTCTATTTCTTTTCTTTGTAATTGATCTAACAAAAAATAACACACTTTTGTTCGAAATGTAGTCAGCCATTATTTCATCATAGTCCTCTTCGCTACTAGAAAGACAACATTCTTATGCTAACTAAAATCCTTGATGTTTATACACGTAATCCTCTATGAATTCAAGAAAGATCTGTCGAATATTCGCTCTTTTTTTTCTTAGAAAACGACTAAATCCTCAAAACAGTATGTAGCTATGGAATTTGAACATGCTGACAGATTTTGAAACAGTATTCAACCAGTATTCTGAGCACCTTACCATTATTTTTGTAACCGAGAATTATACAGGCAGCTACGAAATTCTGAAAAAAGTGTGTAGCCTCGGAATTACGGGATCTTGACAAGATTTAAAACAAGATTGAATCAAGATCCTGAATAGCCTACTACTATTACTATGTTTAAAATCAGGAATCGTTCAGGAAACTGCGAGATTCTGAAAGAAACATTTAGTCAGAATATATTCAAGATTTGGACAGGATGGATGTAAGTGCGAATTTAGGTTTATCTAATCTTAACCGATCCTCAAGTACATAGCCTTCTGTCTTGTTCTTGTCAAGATCCTTCTCTGATTTGATTACAATTCTTGACAAGATTCTCGTATTAGGGTTTAGAACAAATCCGAACTAAAAATTGATAACATTTTGATCGAGTTCTGTTTGATATTTCTGTAAGGATCTTTAGTAGTATTCAGAGTGAATCTTGGTAGGAACCTACATTCTTAACTTAGAAAGAAACCTGGATAGAAACTTGGAAAAATACTGAATTGGTCTCTGCTAAATCTTGTGAACCAGAGAGCGAAAACGAACCGAACCAAACCCGAACTAGTTTCTCAAAGATGAAGTCGAATCGAACTGAACTCGAACCATATCTTGAAAAAAGCATGTCGAACCGAATCGAACTAATTTTTAAAAAATGAGTGAATATAAGCAAACGTAGAAAAAATCTAATTAGTTGGCTTATCATCTGTTTCTTAAAAATATATGCTGTTGACAATGATTAAACGACCTTTGACCAGCTCTTTTACATAATTAATTCAATCTGCATACAATGCTTTGTTCCTTGTCCATAATAATTAAACATATTGTGTCCATGACGGTCGATCACTTGTAAGCGGCGTAAATTTTTAATTTATTTCTCTTTTTTTCTATTGTTTTACGCTGCAAAAAACATATGGACGCTCGTCTAATTGACAATAGCATATGAATGTCAAGCAGTTGATCTATCATCATTTTTCCTTCACTTCTATCTTGAAATTAATGCAAAATTTATAATTTTGTTCTAATACACTACTCATTTCAACTTATCATTATTATAATAGCTTCAACTAATTCTAAAAGGATAAATTTGAAAAGTATTGAATAGATATTGGAATGCTTGTGCAGTTCAAACCGAACCGAATTTTTGAAAATATACTCGAACGGAACCGAACCCGAACCAGTTTTTTAAAAATGCACTAGAACAGAACCGAACTCGAATCGACTCTCGAAAAATGAATCCGAGCCGAACCTAACTCGAACCAGAAAAAGTCGGTTCGATTCGCTCTCTGTTGTGAACTCCTGGGAACAGGAATTTCTAGGATTCGAGATAAAATGCTGAATAAAACTTGATAACATCTGAAGATACAGGATTCAGAATGATCCTTGCAGGATTCCTCAAAGCATGAAAAAGATTGAGATGAATGTAGTAATAATTGTCGAAAAACCATTTACTCTAAAGACTAATAGTGTTAAGTTCTATCTTATATTATAGTGTTCATATTAGATAAAATAGAATTTTTGGTTTGGTATTTTCATTGCATGATTTTATCGATAGACGTAGATAGTAAGAAGTATATCTAATATATAATCTACAGACTGCTGCTTCAAATGCGCTTATCTTGTAGTGATTATTTCTAAGTGCACTCTGAGATGATTTTTTTTTACAAAAAGGTGATCTACTAAGAGTTGTACATATTCACAAGCAGTGCAATTCGATTAGTAAATCTGCTACATATTATACTAGCAGTTTTTAGACAAATCGATAGATGGTTCATCGTGCTAAATATCTTTAGTAAAGACAGAATTACATTATCAAAGCACATGAAAGTTTTTAATTTGAAAAAAAACCTTAGGTTTGAATCGAGATTACACCTAGTATATGCTTAGGAGTGCTCTTGAGCCACCTGTATCAGTAGCGGCAACGTCAGATTTTTTAGTTAAGTTGACTGCACCGTATCTCTCTCAGTCCTACTGTAGGATCACTTTTATCAACAACTTTAGAAATTTTCTGGCGACACGAGGACTCAGAAACATTTCGAGAGATCTCGAACACCTCTCTACCTCCTGTGGCATCACCACTATATACTATTCGTATCCACTGTTTTGACATAACTTTTGAGTTTCTTTATTTATGATAAAGATGGAGCTACTTAATAAAATCAACACAATATAGAAAACAAAAATGACCGAGATGAAAAGATAAGATAAATATGTTGAAACCTATGCTTAATTTTTCTGTAAAATGTTCTTTTTAATTGACCCATTTATGAAGTTATTTGAACAAGTACATCAATGGATTATTCTAAAAAAGACGGAATGAGTAATCTGAATCAGCTTGTAGGTCAATAGATACACTGAAGAAAACTACTTCTTTTTCTGAAAGACAATATATCAGGCCAGATTTACTCCTGAAATAGATGAGACGAACTAGATGCTGAATGAAGAAATGTGTTTATTGTTTTTATGTAGCAACACCAATCACATTTTTCATTTTATCTTGTTGTTTTAAGACCAAGAAAATATCATGGTGTCATATTTATTTAGTAGAGAGCACGACATAAAAGAAAAGAAAAGAAAAGAAAAATCTCCAACAAATGTCATGCATTTTTGACTAAATCGTACTTTTTTTTCTTTTTCTGCCCACTTTTTATCTTAATAAAAGCCTCACAACTCGGAAGAGTGGCTGATATAACATTTTTTTATTTTTTAGATATCATACTCTCCTGTATAATTTTCGATTTTTAGCAAGGTTTTATACTTTAATTATTGTAGATTGTTTCAAAGTAAAAACAAAAATGTCTCAATCGAGTACTGCTAACAATCAACTAGTACTTGGTTACTGGGCAATTCGTGGTTTGGTAGAACCAACTCGTCTACTTTTACATTATACCAAAACACCGTTTACAGACAAACTATATGAACAAGGTGAAGGTCCAGAATACAGCAAAGCGGAATGGCTTAGGGAAAAAGAAGAACTTGATCTTGGTAAATTATTATTCATTTATTTTCTTACATTTTTTATTTATATTCTAGATTTTCCGAATTTACCATATTTATTTGATGGTGATTTGAAAATCACGCAATCAAAAGCTATTTTATATTATCTGGGACGTAAATTAAATCTTATGGGAAAAACTCTAAATGAAGAAGCACGAGTCATGATGTTATGTGAAGAAGCTCATGATCTTCGTATGACATTAACAGGAATTTTTTATGGTCCAAGTGGAACGTCAAAAGAAGAAAGAAAAAAATTTGCTGAAACAATATTATCCGATCATTTGAAAAAATTCGATAATTATTTTGGCAAACATAAAACAAAATTCGCTGTTGGTGATCAACCAACGATAGCTGATTTTCAATTGTTTTCATACATTGATACTTCTTTGATATTGGATGAAGATCATACTTTAATTGATAAATATTCTAATATCAAACAATATCTGAAAACAATAAGTGAATTACCTGAAATAAAAGATTATATTGTCAAATCTCATGCAAAATATCCTGTCAATAACAAAGGTGAGTAATACATAAAAGCAATAATAATCATTTGTTTTCTTTTCATTTTTAGTGGCTAAATTCGGTGGAAAAGTAATTGAAAAAAAATAAAGTCGCTACGAAACAATTCCAAATATGAAACTGATTTTATTTTATCTTTTTTTTCCCTATGATATTAAAAATTTTTTAAAAATAGAAAAAAATATATCGGCTACGGTTTACAGGTATTTGTAAAACAAGCGAACATCCACGAACACTCCCAAATCGAAAAGTGATACCACTAGTAGATAGAACTCGGTGAGCTGATTCTACGAACATCCAAAATGGTGGGCATTAGTCAAATATGCTCTCTCCACTCTGGCCGCCATTTGATTCGAAAATAGTATTAATCGATAGAGCATAAAAGTCTCCATTCATGAGACCTTACTCCTACTCATTTACTTTGAAAAATCTTAGACAAAGAAATCAAATATCATTTTTATGAGTCCACTCTCATCCACCCTGACTCACTGTCACCCACCCTGACCCGCTCTCACCCAGATCTTAACAAGAGAGTGTAGGTATGGATGTGGGTTGAGAGGAAGTGTGGATGTGGGTAGGTGTGGGCTGCGCGGTGGGTTCGGGCTATGCGTGGGCGTAAGCGTGCGATGTGTGTAAGGTGTGAGTATACGTGTGGATGAGAGCAGATCCATATTCACACCTCTCTTACAACGGTAACTTCCATTTTCATCGAATTTTTCTTTCGTCGGCGTCCATTTTCGCCGATACAACTTTCACCGAATTTCATTTTCGCCGATACTACTGTCACCCAATTCCATTTTCGCCGAACTTCGTTTTCATCAATTTCAATATCGCCGACTAATTTTTTTTGAGCAAAAATTACTGAATAAAATATGATTCATTCTATATTTAAGAAGTTCTTCTATTTAATGAGTTTATGAACTAATTCATTAATCACTAACTGAGTTTCTGGTAACCACATGAGCTGGTAATCGTCTGAGTTCATAATGGACTCAGTCAGTTACCATCTGGAATGCTTAACATCTTGATTGGTTACTAGCACAGTTGAATGTAGGTGTGAGGATGAGTGTATGGATCTGCGTGGAGGTGTGGATAAAGGTGTGATGGTGGGGTGTGGCTGTAGGTGCCGATGTGAGGGTGTTAGCGGGGTTATAAGTGCAAATGTAAATGTTTTCAGTGTCACACTGGCCACCATGTTCACACCGAATGTGATAATCGACTAACATGGAAAGCAATTTTGATGGTAACCAACTCACTTGGTTACCAGTTCACATGCTATTCAACTCAGATGGCAACAAAGTTAGCCGATAATCAAATCAGTTGGTAATCAACTCACTCAGTTACAAAATCAAGCGATTATCACCTCAGCTGGTAACCATGTCACTTACACTGAAAAAAAATGGTACGATACCGAACCAAAAAAGGTACTTTGAACGAAAAAAGGGTTTCGTACATCGTACGGAATCTAAAAAGGTTTCGAATTCGTTGCAATTTTCTGAACCATTTTAGGTTCGATATAGACTACTTCGAAAAACTTGAAAAAGTGTCCTGAGTCAATGAAAATCAATTTTAGTCACCCAAAGTTTTGTACGAAACCTTTTGAGGGTTTCGTATTGTCTTCCTAAATGGTTCCGTAAACACACAAATTCTTTTGCAGCGTACCAAACCATTTAGGAAGACAATACGAAACCCTCAACAGGTTTCGTACAAAGCTGTGGGTGACTAAAATTGCTTGTCATTGACTCAGGACACTTTTTCAAGTTTTTCAAAGTGGTCTATATCGAACCTAAAATGGTTCAGAAAATTGCAACGAATTCGAAGCCTTTTTAGGTTCCGTACTATGTACGAAACATTTTTTTTCGTTCAAAGTACCGTTTTTGGTTCGGTATCGTACCATTTTTTTTTCAGTGTAGGTACCAACTCACATGGTAATTAATGAATTAGTTAATTAACTTATTAATTAGAAAAACTTCTTAAATATAGAATGAATCATATTTGATTCAGTAATTTTTCTGTTAAAAAAAATAGTCGGTGATATTGGAATCGGTGAAAAAGAGTTCGACGAAATGGAATAATTCCTTACAACCACGACAAAATGACACCCATATCCTCGCATTTCCACGCTCCGCTCACATTCGCGGCCAAGCCCATACTCACAACCGCTACACACACCCAAACCACACGCAGATTGGGTATAGGTGTTGACGTGGAGTGAGTGTGATGGATGTGAGATTGGATATGGGTTTGGCTTAAGTATAAGCGAGGTGTGGATATGGAAGTGCGTATCTGTGTGTGTGGATATGGATCTTCTCTCATCCACACGTACACTCATACCTTACCCACATCGCACGCTCACGCCCACGCACAGCCCCCAAACCCACCCCACAGCCCACACCTACCCAAATTTACACTCCCTCTCAACCCACACTCATACCTACATCTTCTTGCTAAGATCTAGGTGAGGGTGGGTGAGAGTGGACTCATAAAAATGATATTTCATTCTTTTGTCTAAGATTTTTCAAAGTAAATGTGTAGGAGTGGGGTCTCATGAATGAAGGCTTTTATGCTCTATCGATTGATACTATTTTTAAATAAAACGGTGGTAAGAGTGGGTAAGAGCGTATTTTACTGATACCTCAAAATGGTTGAATATAGGAGTGATTGCCCAATGCACACTTTTTTTCGAATCTACGAACAACCATATCTTTTGACAGTGAGTAGCGCTATGCGAGTTAGCTACATGCCCAAAACTTCAGCCCCTCAATTACTTGCATAAAGAAAATAGGAGGGACCGATTTTTTCAATTTTAAGCCTCATACTTTAATTTCGCTTATATACTCTTTTTTTTTATTTTGTAAATAACTGCGACCCTAGATGGTCCTTTCAGTACGGAGAAAGGGTAGAACGATACAGAATAAGAGAGAGTGATAGAAAGAATAAGTAAATAAAGTTTACATCTACTAGGTGACTATATATAAAAACAAGCTTTTAATTACCACATTGTTAAATGATAGGAGTACAATCCATCAACTAGACGATTTGCACATGACGGTGAAAAGTATTGTTAGAATGATTCAGGAAACTTACTTAGGACTAGAATATCTTCAATGTCATAATTTAAATTGGAGCCATTAGAGGGAACTAATACACACCAAGAGGTACACTTCGTCAACAGCGAGTTGTGGTGAACATATCTTTTGGATCTATGAAGGCCTTTTATACTGTGTTCCTTTAGCACCTAGCTTTCTCTAAAGACGTTAAGGTTTGCCTGTTCGAATATTAACTTTCCATCAATACTTTCCGACAACGCTACAAAGTATCTGTCCCAGTAATGACGACAGCGATCCTCTAACGTTTTCTCGTTGAACACGAAGGCAAAGAAGTAAAATAAAAATGATTTAAATCCTGCTGTTGTAGGACTGTGAAAAGGGGATACAATGGGAATAACCAAACAAATAACGGCAGAATGTATGACAGAAATAATGCTCTCCTAAGTAATGGAGATGTAAACCCTCCGAACCGAAACGAGTTTATCATGGCTGTACCCTGTCGCACCTTTGTCTTTGTACATTCAATCAACAATCCAAAACCCAATTTCGGCGTTATGTTGTAACCAAGATATTTGAAATCTTTGACATAATTGATCTCTCTATTACCGCATTTCAGTTCAATTTCCGGATAGCCAATAGCTCTAGCTGAGAACAATGCTTTAGTTTTCTCGTAGTTGATCGGTTAAACAGTTAGGCAACAATAGAACTTCAAACGTTCAAAGAAAATTTGCAATTTATGTTCCATATTTAAACACTGAGAGGTGAATGTCATTCCGATAGAACCTGCAACTACCGCTGCTAAATCATCAGCGAATAAGAAGCTTGAGCAAATTCCTAAGAAGCAATCCATGTCACAATGATAAGTGATGAAAAGAGTTGGTGTAAATATACTATCCTGTGATCCTCCTTTAAGTAACGAGAACCATCTAGATTTTTTTTTCTCTCCGATTTCGATGTACGCTTTACGACCTTTCAACCACGTCTCTATCCACTGAATATAATTTCTTGGGATTCCTAATCTCTTTAACTTGGCAAGACAACCAACATGCCATAGCTGGTCAAAGGCTTGTTTAAAGTCGACGAAGATACATGTAACTGGAGAGCTGTTGGACATCAAACTGAAAATTTGTTCCAAAAATAAAAGAACGCGAGTTTGGAGACGAAATCCCGGTCTAAACCCAGATTGGCATTCAGGTAATAAGCCTCTACTGTCCAAAACTTTCCTAAATCTTTCTAAAAATAGCTTTTCGTGTACCTTCGAGAATACATCCAAGAGAGAAATCGGTCTCGTTAAACTTGGATCACAAATAGCTTCTTTTTTTGCTAGTAATATCATTCTCGGTTCTTTCCACATCTCTGGAACTATGCTCTTCGAAAATGAGTTATTCACCATATCAACAAAGAGCGACAAATACGATACAGGTAGAAAGTTGAACATGAAATTCGAGAGTCCATGAGCATCTAAAGACTTCTTTTTCTTCTTATTATTCACCACATTGATCACCTCTTCGAAGGTGCATTCGGGAATTTTTTCATTAAAATTTTCCCATTTGACATCGGGAGCATCGGTATAGGGGTGCGGTCTGTATACTTCTGGTTCCTCAAATAGCTTTTCATAATGATCTGCTGCTAATTCACACATTTTCTTTGTATCCTTTATAACCTCACCAGAGCTCAGAACAAAACCATGGAGTAATGAAGAAGAGGATCGCATATGCCGTTTAGTTTTGGACCAGAAACTGACCGACAAAGGTGAGCAGGTGTTGCGAGCGGAGAGAGAGACTGACAACTTGTTCGAGAGATATGATTTCAATTTCCTTTTGGCAGCTTTTCTCCTAAATTTCACAATTTCTTTCAGATACAGACATCCGTTTTTCATTTGTCTGAAGGAAAGAGCACGTGTTAATGACATATAACTACGAAGTTCTTTCGGAATAGAGATTCTATATTTTTCGATAGGAAATAAAACTGTACAGCGAGCTGTGAGAAGAGACAGAAATGTGACATATTCTTCATAAACAACATCTAAAGGATCTAAATTCCACCTTCTTAGCCACCATGGTTAGACAAACTCACTGTACATAGAAAAGACCTTCCAGTATACGTTTTTAGCAAAGTGAACTTCCTTTGATGTTACTGGAATGACTGTCAGCACCGGTTTATGATCACTTGTGGTTTTTGTTCCTTCGACAGTATGGATGGAGACAGAAAACTCGGATGTAAAGACATAGTCAATAGTCCAATCACTTCTTAGTGATGTCGACGAGTCTGGAGTAAATGGGCATAAAAGTAAGGAGTCGAACCACGTTAGTAACATCTCGGCTTTGGCTTTATCCTTTACAAGGTCAACATTAAAATCACCGAAGACAATGCAATTGGAAGAGATAAATATGGTCAGATCATTCCAGTTCCAAGATTTTGCCTCCGACGCGTACACCCCTAAAAGCCTCAGTTTCTGATTCTGTTCAAATATGTCCACTACACATACGTTCGGGATTTTACAATCTATTCTACTTGTTTTTAATCCCTCCCGAACCAAGACAAGCACACCATCGTGTGAGTTTTCTCCTCCCTGATAGAAGAGCTTGTATTTGGAGAAAGTCTGCTTGCAAAAAGTGAGATCACAGTGGCTCGTTTCTAACAAGAAAAACATCAAACTTGTAAGACGTTGAGAGAAGAAATACCTCTTGGTGTCTCAAGTCAAAACCTCTCACATAAAAACACAAAACTTGTAAGGATTTGACCAATGAAGATGTATCCTTAGTCCTAAATGGTTCCCAGTTTTTGAACCGATCACAGAGAAACAGAGAACTTTCCCATTCAAAGAGTATTTCTAACAAAAGAGAAAAATCAAACAGTGACAGATTACATTTCGCATTCAAGAGAAAAAAACTCACGCTTGTTTTTAATCAACTGCGAAGTACATGAAAAAAAAATGAAGGAACAGATGAAGATAGTGTCATGAAAAAATTTTACCTTTCAATGCATTGTCCAATTGTGCGCGTACAGTTTGAATTTTATATTTAAAGTCGGTATTATCAATTCCAGTTGCTTTTAAATTAATATGTTGTAGAAAATGAGATAGTAAATCTAATGAAGGTAAAATCAGTTTCTTAATTAATTTTTCATTTGAATCTGATTTGTCTTTCACTTCTTTATTATTCATCATTAGTTCTTCTACTTTAGCTAGCAGATAGCCATCATTCTTCTTACTTTCTATGATAAACAATTCAAATTCTTTTTGTTTTTTTATTTCAATTCTATCTAGAGTATCATTCATTTTAGTTACGCTAAAAATTAATTCATCAATTTTATTCGAAGTTTTGTTGTTGATAGAGATCGGTGCTGTTGATGACTGCGGTTGTGGAAGACCAGAAAAGCCTGAAGGATCATAACTGTAATTGTTCTTGCTAGTTATAATTGTTGTTGAAGTTGATAACAATTTCTTTGTTAATACTGATCTGTATTCCTTTAAAATTGGACATTTTAAAGAGTTCGATGGATGATCATTTTTCATACAGTGAATGCAATGCATAATACTAGTACAACGATGTTGACGAATATCAGTACAGTTTGTTCCTCAGGTCTTGCAATTATCATTTTGTTGCTTGCATTGACGACGAAAATGACCGATTCCTTGACACTTGCTACATATCAAGACCGTTGCTGGGCATAAATATTCTTCAATGTCGAATGTCATTCCCAATACTCTAATTTTACCATCCTTCAACAAAGCATCACGTTTTGAAGACGAAAGAATTTCAATTTTCATCATTTTGATGTCGTTTTGATATTTATTTTTAAGTCTGATAATATTATGAATTTCCGGATATAAGGAATTTAATTCTGCACATAATTCATTTAAATCCACTATAAGATCAACGTTTTTCATAATCATAGATAACGGCGGTGGAAATGACGGCATAGAAGGAAATGTAAATGCTTGTTCACCAATTTGTTGGGGCCAATATTGTTTAACAAATAAAGCAGAGAAGGAGTCAACATCTTTCACGTAAATAAGAAGATCACTATCATCACCTTGACATTTTACTGTGGACTTGCGACTATTAACAATATTGACGTCGATTTTCACAATATCATAGAAATGTTTTGTAATTTGCTCAGCAGCATGTGATTCTTTAATATTACCACTATTAAATCGAATAATGAAAGGACTAAACGGGAAACGTGTCTGAGCATAACGTGTCGCTTCAATAGATACTGTTGGTACTATTGGTTGGAACATTTGTTGAACTTGATGTGTAGTAGTTGAATGAGTATCAACAACATTAGGTTGGATATCTTGAACTAAGTCGTAATGGTAATTATGCTTGATGTTGTTCTGGTTTCTTCGCCTCTTGGATTTTACCAAAGTAAATTCATCATCATCATCGTATTCATTTGTTGAACGACGAGGAGTAACTGAACGAGGAGTATGTGAACCAGGCGAAGGAATCCGATTGTGAATTTTAGAACGAAGGATATAACGTGTATCTGTATGATGGTCATAATATTCTGTAGACTGGTTGATCGAATTCGTTGAATTCATAACATTTGTGCATTCATTTTATTGATGAGTTTCATTATTTCTAGTACAATTGTTCTGATATTGTTTATTATTCGTCATAATTTGAGAAAA